ATTTCCTGCTGCTTTCCGTGCTTGTTTTTTGGGGGCAAGAAAAATAGCCCTCCTGTGCTGCTAATGAATGTGCCTGTTGTAACAAACCTCTGAATGAACTGGGACAGGCAGGTGGCTGTGCAATTAAACATTTCTTAAATTAAGTTTGCCTTCCCTATGGATGAACTTTATTTTGCCGCTTAATTGAATCTGACAGCATTTTTCATCCAAGGAACGATGTTCAGAGTGTGTAGGTGCTCATGCCATCAGATTCAGTGGCAGTCTGAATGTTTATGTTCTTTTACTAAAAGCCAGCACTGAAGAAAGCAAATCCATGGCTTTGTTGTCCGTGTGGAAAATTACTTCTGCAGAGCTTTAAAGCTTGTAGAGCATCACTTTATTGAATAATAGTCTTCTGATGTAAGTGCGCATGCCTTCCCTATCTGACTTATTTCTATTGTCATCAACATTGTCAATTAAATAATTGTTTTAGTTATTAAGCATGCTTATGATGGTGCTATAGAAATGCCAGCCAAGTAATGAGTCTGGATTCTGTACAAACATTATGAAATACACACTGTGGAAGAATTTGAAGTTGAAATAAATGGGACAAATTTGTTTGGAGGTGGAAATCCTTGTTGCTGATTATAGGTCAAAATAGATTCATAGAAGCTCAACAATGCAAGCAGGAAATAGAAGAGTAGACATCCTGTGTGACTGTGGGACTGCAATACCTAAAACATATGGCCTGGTGTTTAGAAGACTTTTCACATCAGAAAATTAACATCCAGGAGAAATTATTGAGCTTTATTGTTCTTAATCTACAAGGGGTGGGTTTGTTTGTTTGTTTTTCCTCAGAAAGTTTAATATTTATGGTGTTTATGAAAGGCTTAGAATCGTACTGTCTGACTGCTGGGAAAGTGTTGGAAATGAGGTGTACGTGTGTGCAAAAATGTACTGTTATACTGCAATGTCTTGTAGAGAAGAATTTCAGTCCTGAATAGGTTCAGGACTAATTTAGGAAACGTGTCATATAAACTCCTCTAGCAGCAAACACTGCTTTACTGCTAAAATCTCTGATTTCTATCATTCTGGAGACAGTCAGTTGACATGGAGAATGACTTTAAAAATTTCTAACTTTTTTCCCAAATAGTGAGATCTACTCTAAAATGAAAATTTCCCTGCTACTAATGTAATTTTCATGAAGTAGCCAGGGTTTCTGCTTGAAATACTCAAATGCTGACTTTTTCCTAATGGGGTAGCTTTTCAGATCTCTGACATCATTCTCTGTGTCAAATTTAAGGTCTTCATTGAATATACTCCATTTGTTTTCTTATTGTTTTAAGTCCTTCCATTACTCAGAATTGATTGCATGTTGTACACATGGTCATGATCTTCACGTTTGCTTTATCCAAAGTAAATTTTAAGGCTTCTCTGAAAGACCTAAGAAAAGGCAGAGCATTCTGCCTGCTTGTGCAGATGTTTCCCAGCTGCTGGTTTTCCATGTTTCTTCTCTGACGATGCCATTCTTTTTTCTGGGGATTTCAGAATCTGTGAAATTTTTGCTTCTGAGAAAGACAGGCAGTGCATCTTTTGAGTATTTTGCTGTAAGTTTACCGAGTCCACAGGTAATGACTTTGGGAAGGGAAGGAAAGAGAGTCTAGAGGGAGAGAAAGGCAAGACAAGAAGTCTTGTGGATCCTTAGTGTGGGAATCTTAGTCTGACGCAGGCCATTTCTTTTTTTTCTTATATAAGTTAATAAAAACACTAACAGCAGAATATCCTACATGGTGAATTTTCAAACATGCAGAGCTATCCTCTCAGATGCTCCTCCACCACTGGAGCACCAGTGGTACAAGTGGGTAGCACCACCTGCTGGCATTGCCTTCTGAAAGCTATGTAAAATTGCCCTGAAAGGTAAGACTAGAATGCCTTAAGCAGTGTTTATCTAGCAAATCTTGTATACTAACAGCTAGTGGTGTGTAGATAAACTTCCAGTCATGGCCAAAAACCCAGGGCCGCAGTGATCCTCACTGCAATTCCTCAACATGACTAAATGATTGCTTTGGGTAAATCTTAATGTACTTCAGTCAAAGAAAGATAAAGTAGAGTAATTCAGTCTCAATGAATCGCGTGGCATGAAATATCTAGCACAAGATGTTTCAAAGAAGGTACATTACTATTAAGTAGATGATTAAATAGGTGGGTTTTTTCCACTTTGTTCCACTGAACTTTTGAGTCTTGCAATATATGCATGCACGCAGTACAAGCAAGAGTTGGAGGAGCAGTGAAGCCTCATAAATGCTTGTGTGCATCTGTTTAAGAAATCGAAAGCATTGCTTTAATTACGTATTGCTAATTATAATAAGCAAGTTTGCTAATTATAATAAGCAAGGGAGCAAGAACACCTGGGTGGTTTCCTAAAATTTCCTGTGATCATCCAGCTCACCTAGCTGAAGCATTGAGAGGGCTGGAATTACCCTGGCAGGAGTGCACATCAGGAGCAAACGCTGAAGGACTTCCACTTCTCTGTGAGCTTCCTTTTTGGGGTGGCTGTGGTTCAGTCCTGTCAAACTTGCTGTGAATTCTCTCTGAAGGAGACAGGAGCAAGTATTGAAATTCCCAGTGCATTTGCTTATGGTTCACTGCCAATCTGAACTGCAGCAACATGCCGGTAACTGCGGATCTTGGGCTCTCTATTGCTCTTCAGTGAAAAAAGGGCAATTGAAAAAATACTTTTATATCGTAAATACCATTTAATGAACAAATGCTAAGCTAAGGTGGAATTCCAATTCCACTTCCAATTTCTAGTTCCACTTACTTATTATTTCCTTGCAAATGACGCTATGCTAGATGCAGGAGCTGTACTCAGAAATGAGAAGGCTGACCCTTGTGCCTTCTGCATTCATTCACCACATCAGAAAGGGCTGCCATACATTATTAAGGATTCTCTACCTTAATTTTTTTTTTTTTAAATGTATCTTAGAACTGGAGGAGCTCTGATTAGGTAAACATGCAGGCTTCTGATCCTGAAATGAGGTCTGAGGAGGCAACCCATAGCTAGCCATGCTCTGTGGGTGCCTGATCACAGCTGGTGCTTGGCAAGCTGAGTCCTTGTGAAACATTGGGGTGCAACCAGCTGCACTTCTTGGTGCTTTCTGTGTGAAGTAAGATATGCAGAAAATGTTTGAAGAGAGTCAGATTTCTTAAGTTGATGCTTAACATCCTTTTTTGCTATGCCTGGTTCAGGCAAACACAGAGGCAGTAGCAAAGGAGAAGTGATTACACAACTTCTTGGTACGTGAACCACAGGTGGGATGCTATCCAAGCTCACCTGAATTGTTGGGAGAGACCACCTTTGCTCATGCAGAATATAATTAAGATAGCCATCACCTCTCTTAGGCCCTGATACCAATGAGGTAGCTCATTAGGGTAGCATGGAAGCTTCTGTAGTGAATTACAGGGGAAAATAAAAAACAACAAACCGGAACTGCATCAGGCAGCTTCTGTGATAACTGAGCGTATTCAAAATACCCAGAGGGAAGAATGTGTGCTTTCTTTTTATAATCATTGTGATGTAAATGCTTTCCTATTGAGGTGCTGCCTATGATAGGCAGTTAGCTCTTTGTTCATCAGATTTTGCTTCTATGAGATCCTGAAGCATGGCCGTCAGTGGGAGCCTGGCTATTTAATTCCAGTGAGTCAGGCTTGTGGTGTGCTCACTTCTGCAAGCATTCAGACTCGGACTTTGAACAACCCTGGGATGGACGGGGGATTTGAGGCAGGCTAAAGACTCTCTATCGTATTTGGACAGTTCTGTGAAGCTAGAAGGACAGTATTTAATGATACAGTGATGTCACCCATATAGTTCTCAAAAGATTAAGTAGTGTCAGCTCCAGTCTATGCTGAATGCACAGAAGGATAATAAGCTTACTCACTGGGTTCATATTTTATTACCACTGTCAAATCTTTTTTTTTTTTTTAACAAAAATCATTGACTGTCTTAACTGCTGAGCTTATACAAGTCCATTGTAATTTTTTCAGTGATTAAATATTAAAACAGAGTGTAATTTCAGAGGAAATAAATTTAGAGCAGACCACTTTGTTCTTTAGCAGAGGATCTCTGCTCCTGTCACTTAAGATAGGGAGCAAACATTCTTCCCTTCAATAGCACAATTATTCAAAAATGTTTGCAAGAATCCCTTTGTAGAATTTGTGCTTGTTTTAGAGTCAATCTTTTATTCCAAAAGGAAGATAAAGATAGGTTTAAGATTCAACAGCTGACAAAGTAGCGCAGCTTCACAAATGAAATTTGGAGTTGAAGGAGCCTGATTGTATGTGAAAGTTACATAAAAATGAAGGTGTTTCACTGTGGCATTTAAGTTTTAAGATTTCCAAATCTCCTATCTTTCAACAAATTCTGATGCCTTACCTTTACAGCCTTTGGAGGTACTTCTTTGTGAAGTGAAAAAGAGTACTTGGATGCTCTTAGTTTCTTAAGCATGTCTTAACATGCAACATTTGTGTTTTCATTTTAACAGATGTTATTTTTTAAATTAATAGCTTTCGCTAAAGTCAGTAGATTTTGAGAACATCATGTTTTTACACTGTAAGACACTGAAAAATAAATGTCTGTTTAGATCAGGAATAGCTGCAGACCCTTAGCACATGGCGGCTTCTTTGATGTGGGTGTAATGTCTTTTCCATATGAAATGTAAGAAGAGGTACTTTTGAGTTTAGTTGCCTTTTTCATAGCATTTTTTTTTGCTATTCTTCTTGTTTTCTTTTCAGCTTATTAGTGTATATTGGAAATCAACTTTTTTGGGGGAATGCTATATTATTCTTGGAATGCTGAATGCCATCTATAATCTAATGGGATTTTTTTTTCAGTGTGAAAGTCTCCTAGACCTGCTCTTGAAGTGTTCTAAGCATATTATTAATCCTAAGCATGCACTCATTGAACTTTACCTTTAAAATGCAGTAAAAGTATCTCTTTATGCTGAATGTTTGATGTGCTTTAGTACCCATCAGTGATGAAGAGGAAGGAGGCATTCTCTTTGATAACATTGCCAAATCTGCCATTGACCCCTTTGACACCTCTTCTGGATCTGTACAGCTGATTGCTATCAAACCTGTGGCACTACCTGCTGTTCATGCTGCATCAGATAGAAGTCAGGAATCTGCCATCATTAATGGAGAGGTAAGGACCATCTGATAATGTCTGCAGCTATTTCCTTGGCTCTATCCAGAGGTGGCATCATCTTAAGCCTATTGGAGTTGGGGGTTAGTAGGAACTTTTCTCTCTGATTCTGTATAAAGCTCCAGGTACCATTGTGGGCTCCGAGGTCAAAGAATTTAAATCTGTTTCCTTATTGCGTATGTGAATGTATGTGACCTTGGAAGAGGCAACTTTCTATGTTATAAACTTCTTAATATCCTTCCGCTTTATCATATTCATTTTAAGAGAACAAGTAATAAGGGCAGAGAGATCAAGATCTTTCTCCGTGTGAATTTTGTAGGTAAACTTGGAGACTGTAGATCATCTGGATCCCAATCTACCCTTTCTATACTGAGCAGTACTTCTCATTCAAAGTGAGAAGGCATAGAGCAGGACCATGGCTTTGCTCAATCTGCATTCCAGCCTGTGCACAGAGGGCACAGCTGTTTCCTGGGAACAAGGTGGAATGGCAAAGATTGAGATGCTGACTAAAAACCATGCTTTGACTCCTATACTTGTGTATTGAGATTATGTAGGTCTTTTTTTGAGAAATACATTCACAAAGAATTGAGGTTCATATGGGGGGCTGATTCAGGATCAGCCTGAATCTCTCTGCTGCTGTTCTGTGTGCTGCCACCAGAAACGCAGTAACAGACGGTGTCATGGCTCTCCCATGTGGGCCTGGATTAAGCAGTGTGTCATGGTCCATTTCATGCTTGTATTTTAAGCTCAGATGTGCCACATAGTTTCTAAACGCAGGGAAAGGCTTATCTAGAATTCATCATTTATATAAGCCAACAGAATGATGTTCCTAGCTTCTATGCACTTTTCTGTACATACATATTCTGGAAACTGTGAGAGGAATGTAGAATTGCCTCTGAAATGAGCAAATCCCAAGCAAATTACTACCTTTCCCCTAACCAACAATGTGAAGAGAAGATTATTATGTTTTTTTTTAATACTTAGAAGTGTCCATAGGAATGTGACATGCACCAGGTCAGACAAAATACCCAGTTTATTTTAGGTTTTTATTTCTGATAGGGTCCCAGAACAAATTTCTGAGATAACCATACATGAGCCTATGATGACATCTCACCAAAATACTTCCCCAGCCATCAGCGATGAATTATTTGTGGTTTTCTTTAGCCAGAGGTGATGGCTCAGTACTTCCTGGACCCTGCAGTGATTTTCATTAGTGACTTCTCCCCAGTGTCCCCAGAAGCAAGTACTGCTTTGGGTCACAGCAACTGACTAACATAATCAGTGTTTTTCTTCGGTGGGTGTATCTGAGTCACTGTTTAGATGGTATATAGATTTTAGGCTAAAATTATTTAACCATCTGCCAAACCATAAAAAATGCAGCAACTCTGTTCACTTGCAGTTCCTCGCTGCTTACAGATGGCACGGTGTGGTACAGAAAGCACTCTGTAAAATGACACATGAAGCGCATCAAACATGCTCTAAGAGTACTGTTTGGAAGCAGTCAGCCCAGCACCGTCCTCAGAACATCTTTTTGCCTTTTAGGTGAACAAGGCTTTGAAGCAGAAGTCCGATATAGAGCATTACCGCAACAAGCTGCGTTTGAAAGCCAAGAGGAAGGGGTACTATGATTTCCCACAGGTTGACAACAGCAAGGGGTTGACAGACAGAAAAAGGATGTATGAGAAAAACCAGAAAGAAATTGACCATATTTTGGATCCCGATCCAGATGTTTCATCTCCGTTTGCTGAGCCTAAGAACAGGTGAGACTTTTTATATGCAGTTCTTCCTCTGGGACAAAACTTGCTGTCCAGCGTTTTTGAAGAATTGGAAGGTCTGTTCTTAAGTAGGCAAATGTTTGCTGATTGATCCCTCCTACTTCATGAAGACAATCAACATAGCCTGTGATTCTTTATGAAGGAACGTAATCTGATAAAAATGGCATGTGATTAAAAAGAAGTAAATTGAAAGGCAAAGAAAATACGGGAAGGGGCTGTTCCAAGTTTTTCTGTCATTTTCTAAGTAAATAAAAAAAGCAGTATAATTTTTAATTATACTATTATAATTTTCGGAAATACGGAGAGTAGACTTAAGCCAGAAAGTTAGCATGTGAATTATTTTCCGAAGTTCAGTGATGTTATTATTTTGGTACTATCTTTATCCGAATGTAGCTATTGCAGTAGGCATAGGGGATTGCAGCCTCTACAGTGCCTGCATATTCAGTAAATCCTGCAGGAATATCCACAAGAATGTGCATGTGCCTTCCTGTGTCCTAAACAGAGAGAGTCATAATTCAGGTGAATTACCTGTAACGTGAAGCTAGCAGGTTAAGTAACAATACTATGGTCTGGTTAATGCTTCGTTGTCTTTTGAAAGTAACATAGCAATATTTGTCTCCTTGCTTTAAAAATGAGAGGGTGAGGTAAGTGCCAACTCTGCCTGTGTAGGTGGATGGACCTGCTCTGCTGCTGGGTGCTCCTTGATACACAAGTTGACACATTCAAAGGAGGAGATGACACCAGTCCTAGCCAGTGTAGCCCAAGAGAGGGATGGCGTAGTATTCAGTTTCCTCCTTCTTAGGGATGATGAAAATGCAAGAGGGAAAGACTTACTAAAGAGCGTGTGTGCCATTACATCCCTTATCACAAAGGCTCTGATTCTTGCTGTGAATGGGGACTAGCAGTAGTTGATCTACAAGAGGAAATTAAAGTACATTTGCTCTGGAAACGGTACTTTTGCCTTGAGGTATGGTCTTGCATCTCCTGGAAAGTTCAGTCCAAAGTTTTCCTGTGGAAAAACGGTGTTTTCAGATGAAAAAGACTGTAATGATAATTATTAAAGCAGTTTTGATCCAGAATGTGAGCAACAACTGCAATCAGGTGTACTTTTTTAGGCGTAGAGTCAAATGACAGCCCTTGATGGACTGGTGACAGTGTTGCACGGTCCAATAGAGAATAAAGGTGGTGGCTTAACAAGGTGTTTTACATCCTTGCTGGAAGGCCTCAGGCATGAATTTCTTGTGCTGCTTTCTAGTGAGTAGGGAATAAACTGCTTCAAAAGCAATGGAAAGTTAATACACTGAACCCTTAGCATGCAGGAGTCCCGCTCTGTCTGCGGTCTGTCATGAGATGCAAATGAAAAAAATAAGAATTCTGTTATGGCTGTGGTGCACGTATAGTGAAGGACTTAGGCATTACTTTGGATGTTTATGCTGTGGCACGTGGGAAATGATTAAACTACTGCACATGAAGCTTTAATGCTAACCGTCTGCTCTTTGTTAAATATACAAATGCTTGCTTGCTCGTGTGCCAATGTGCTGAAAGGTTCACAAACGCTTATTTTTTCCCTGTGTGCTTTCTAATGTGCTGTGTAGATCTGTCATAGTCTATTTGAGATTGTAATTACTGGCATCATAGAAACTGCTCGAAGGCAGGTGCACTACTGTAGAGAAATGATTCCCTTCTGTGGCTGAACCATAAGAGACTGGATTTACTTGTTGAATATATAGTCTATATCTGTACGTAGTGAGAAATAGGAACCACTTACGACACATTTCTCTATAAAGATGCTAAGCATTTTGAGAACGTTACAGATGTTACAGATGTTTAAGAACTTCTTGCCAACAGATGTGTTCTGAAGTCTGTATTAAAACTGGATGTGCTAACACACACATTGCAGCATTTTTTGCCTTCAGTTTGCAAGTAAAAGAATGATGACTAAAACAACCTACTTCTAGAGGAATACCTTGAATAAAACTTCAAGGTAATGTGGCTTAAGTTACTGCTGAATGAATCAACACAATTGTGTTTCCGTAATGAAATAAAAACTCTTTTACAGTGATCAAGGTTAGGGTGAAATGAAAATACTGGATTCACAGTGTTTCCTGCTTTGTATAATTGTTTGGATGACTATTGTTACAGCACATAAGCATCTATTTTAAAATGTTTTCTTTTAAATCATTAAGAAGTTAGTCAAAGATCTCAAAATTTCTAGGGAAAAGTCTGTTTTCCTTTTTTTCCCCTCTTTTGTGTGTATTCCACTGGCTTAAATAATGTTATTCCAACATTTCCAAAATACAGTGGATAAGACAGGTGCAGCTGATTGCATTATTCAAGATCACTTTTGCAATTTGGTTTTGTTTGAAATGCTGTTGAAAAGTGATTTACAGCAAATCGCCATTTAATAGTTTGATTTGTTCAAGAACAAACATTTTTTGTGCTCTTGGTTCTTTTGAGTTTTCTGCACGTTAAAATTAATGTTATAAAATGTTTCAGTTGTGCTCCCAGGAGGCATTCGCTAACCCATTTGAATGCCAGTTGTTAGTGTTCATACCTCCTTTCTCATTAGTAAAGCTTTCACAAATGAGCTAATTGGCAGTCTCCAGGCAGTTTTTTTTTTTTAAAGATGTTTCTGATTATACCTCCTATTCTGAGTTTTTCCTTAATAGTTTGTAATCAGGTCAAGAATCTGCATATGTTAGAGAGTTGTGTACCTGAAACCCTTATAAGATATCACAACTGCATCAACCAAGTATTAATGTGCCTGTTATGAACCTTGTACAGAATTTGAGATCTTCAATGCAGGAACATAAAAATTGCCAGATCTGATTTACTTAGTTTAATGAGAAATATAAAGCTTGGTTGCTGTTGAGTTTGATTTCTTTTTTTTGGCCTATGCTTTATCCATCCTGATTTGTGTAAACGTCGGTCTCTCTGGGTCTTTTGTAACTCTCTTTCTGCCTGTTAACCTTAACCTCAAGGCTTTTACCTCCAAGATGCCCCAGAGAATTTCTAAGAGCTGGTCACTAAAATCTCTGTAAATGTAGCAGTTCTGAATTTTTCTTTGTAAATCTATCCTGGTTTCATTGTAAGAAATATTGATGTGGCATCTTGCAAGCAGTTTCCTCCCACTCCTGTCTGTATTCTCATACGCTTTGCTGGATGTTTGTTTCAATGGAACATTGTTCCACTTCTTTCTCACTGCTCACAATTTGTCACCGAAATCTCTGCCCCCCATCTGAGTGTGTGAAAGGTGTTACTTTTTTTAGGAACAGCACCTACTTAAATTTAAAAAATAAAGTCATACCAACTAACACTGAAAGGGTTCTGATATCTTCTAGGGACGTATTTTATTTGATAAACTCCACCATAGGGTGCCTGTATCTTAATTTTACTTTCTTTACTAGCAAGCAAAATTTCCAATCTCTCTAAATTACAGTTGATTTCTGGGAGTTCCATATACCTCCTATAATAAAGTGACATCTTCTTTATGATCTTTATGATGACAAAATAATTTTTGTTTATATTCTGTTAATTTTACCATTTTGTTGTCTGATGTCTTATAGGCAACAGATGAAGAACTCCATATACAGAAGCCGTCAGTCTTTGAACAGTCCTAGCCCAGGAGAAACTGAGATGGATCTCCTAGTGACTCGAGAAAGACCTAGGCGTGGAATCCGTAACAGTGGATATGATGTAAGTGTATCAGGTGTATCCTGTGAAATTGGCTCGGCCAAGACTTAGTTCATTCCTGAAAATGGAAAACTGTTGATAAGCTCCAAGCCGGAGTGTCCTCGGGTGCTTGACCTTACAGGACTTTATGTGCACTCAGCATCCTGAAAGAGGCTCAGGATATTCTGAGCACAAACTGCTGAACATACTTTATACTTTACATCATTTTGTTGTCTGAAATGGAGACAAAATGTTCTCGGAACATTATTACAAAAATACTGATTTTTGAATTTAGATAGTTCTTTCAAGTATGCAACTGCTTGCAGGATACCAATATCTTTTCAATGTAATTAAAATCCTATTTTTTCTTTACCCCTTATGCTGCTCTCTTGATTCAGAAGAATGGACAACCAACTTCTAGGAATTGCACTGAAGTCCAGATGTCAGTGGTTTGTGGAAAACCCCTAGGAAATAGCCACATTCTTGTTCTCCTCTTACTATCTCAGAACTGGGAGAATTTTGAATATTTAAATGTTAAAACCAGGCAGAGTAGATTCTGCACTGGTTTATGGTCCAAGGAACTCACACAGCCAGCATAAGTTTAGGGTAGTTGTTTTGTGCAAGGTGAACATACACTGGGTCTAAGTTGACACAGCATGCACCCAAAGTGAAGATGAAAAAAAGCCCATACTCCTAAGGTAAAGTAGAGTTTTTCAGTCCATTACGTATACAGAAAGCTGTAGCACAGCCATCCCTGAAGATCGATTCCTGTAGAAGATCTAAGCATTTCTGGAAAATGAGAAAGTTAATCTGGTGATTGTTCATCCAACTTGGTTAATTGTTAACTGTCAGCTGGCAGGGATGTATTTTTAGCAAGGTGAATGAATTTATCAAGGTCAAGGAATGTGTTCAGGAAAGTTTATTTTACAGAATTAAGTGGGGCAGATAGTGATTTTGGAAGTCAGCTTTTGAATTTTTGAAAATCATTTCCTGCATATTGACACTTCCCATCAGATTGTATGAGTCAGGCTGTGCCGTGTAATTGGAATGACTGCCTCACTGCTTTCTGAGGCATAAGAATATATTACACTAACCTGCAAAAAAAAAAAAAAAAAGAGACAAAATGAAAGAAATGGAAAGAACAGCCCTGTTGCACTTAAAACAGCCTACATTTTGCAAAAAAAGAAAGGTTTTTGTGTTTATCCTGCTTATGTGTTAACTCTCTTAATAGTTCATCATCAAGCTGGACTTTCCTCTGTATTCTAAAATCAGGTGTTTCAAGAAGAGCCTGGAATTTCTTTATTGTACTAAAACGTAGTTTCTCATAGGTAAAATCTTTCTGAAATGAATGTTAAAAGCACTCTAGCAGCACACATGGCCCCCTGCCAATAGTGCAAAATGAGCATGTCATATACGTATCCAAGTGTATGTTAGAAATACACTTGGATATGTTGTGTAAATTGCATAGAAAAGATTTTCAAGTAAAATTTTTAAAAGCCCAGCAAGTGGTATAATGAGCTCGTGCAGGCTCATGATCTCCTCAGCATAGTTACAGTCTCTGACAACAGCATATCTCACACAAGATTCCCTTGCTTTTCTTTTTGCACTGTGGCAGAGGGAATTGTCTCTGGTGTAGTCTTTTTTTTTTTTTTTTTTTTTTTTAACTGGTAAGTTACATAAAATTCTCTTTGACTGTGCTGCAGATTCACTGCAGTGCACCTCTTCGAACAGTGGAAGTATTTTTGTCTGAAAGCAGAAAAATGCCATGGGAAAATGGAACAGGATGTTGAAATCTAGTTCTCCAGCCTCTGCTTGCAGTGTGGGCTGATCTCCCTCCTCCTATTTGAGCTACCTTGGTGCTTTGCCAAGCTTTTGACAGGCTTGCTCTCTCAGGCACAAGCTGGCGCTTAAATCTGCGTTAATGCATGGAATCCATGTTGATCCCATCATGGTGCTTCAAAACACCACTAAGTCTGAGCTCTGGAGATGGGTGTAAGTATTTCAGACATTTAGAGCTGAGGTATTGGCCCAGAGGAATTATTTTATTGGATTAGTTTCTTCAGCTGTTAGGGCTATGTGGCGGTCCACTGAGAAAAGGTGTTAAAAAGCTCAGTAATGCTATAATGTGTTTATGAATTAGGGCTGCTTTGTATGCTGGACCTCGTGTCCTTTCTTTTTTACCTAATAACATCTTGTACAGTGTTTTGACATCTGCTTTGCTGTTTTAAAGGATCCACTCTTTTAACCTTCTCCTTCTACTACATGATTTAATATCAATTTCACCAACACAGCATGAAAGTTGTTTGATAAGCCATTCCAAATGAGGAAATTCATGAAGCGGATACCCTGCGTTACCTTCAAGTCATGAGATTTTTTGAAGAATAACAAATTGCTTTTTATTTTTTGAGCTGTTACCAGCCTGCCTAGGATATGTGGTGTTTCAGCTTCCCAGCCATGACCAATGGTGGTGGTTACGTGTGGGGTTTTTGTTTGGTTTTTAAATAAAATAGATTGTTTCCCTAGAATATTGAAGAAAGCTTGAGAACGGTCAGATCGACACACACGACAAAATCACAATGGTTTTTGGGTGATCTGCCCAGTTTTGCCCTGCTCTGTAAATAGGAAAATAAGAAAATCTCTCACTCCATGCTAATGTTTTATTTGATTTTTTTTATTTAATATTTTGTAAATAGTTTCCCTCAGATAAATATGTCTATTATTTCAGTCACAGTTGTCTAAAATATTTTATTCCCAATAATAATAATAATCTGAATATAAGGTCAGTAATCACCTACCTGTCTGTACAGAATGTGTAGCTTTTTATGCATACTACTGTTTGATATTCTCAGTATTCTCAGTGTTTAGTTTTATAGCACCTTTTTTATCAATGGGTTATTGTTGAAGGATACCTATCTTCTAATTTTAATAAATCCAACCAGGGTTTGGGGATGGTCACCTTCACCTAAAATGCAGACAAAGGAAACTTGAACATGTTTATTACTTCTGAGATCTTCAAAGACAATTATGAGTAGAGCAAATGCTGTAATGAAAGAGTCTAGAACCTTTGAGCTGCTAATGAGCTTTATGCTAGGGCAGAAAAAAAACAGGCAATTTTTTTGTGTAAAGGGAAGAAAATGACCTCATTATAAAAACCTAAGAATATGAAAAAGAATGTATTCATCTAACCTTATGGATACAGTTACAGTAATGCAACTCCTCAAAAAGCTTTGAATTGGTGTTCACATGAAGAAGTTCATGATACAGTGATTTCATGGTACTGTTGCAGCAGCAGAATCCTGCTAGAAATGGATAAACTCCACCTCTGTACAGGGCTTGCTTTTCCTTCTTGATGTAATTCTAGTATTACATAATAAATGTGCCTGAATGACTTCTAAATATCTCTAATGTCAATGTTAACGTATAGTGGTGTCTATCTACAGTACTTACATCTTTCAATTGATAAAAGAGAAAATAGCATAGGCAGTGATATGAGGAAATAGGCAGTGATATGAGGAAATAGGCAGTGATATGAGGAAATAGGCAGTGATATGAGGAAATAGGCAGTGATATGAGGAAATAGACATGAATTTTAAAACTTGAGCAGAAGTGTCACCGGTCTCCTCCCAAATCTTAGTGCCAGTTTTAAGTTGATAAGTCAAAGCTGGCTTAATGTCGACAATGACTAAAAATCTGTTATTCATATGATTTATTTTAGACATTATATTCTTCTACTGGACAGAATCAAGGAGAGTTGTAGTGGCTTCACCAAGGGGTTGTACCAGAAAGCCTGATTTATTTCAACACTGGGTACCAATAGGTCTCTTGTGGGATTCCTTTCGCTGATATTTTTACGGTTATAATGAAACAGAAGAAGCATGGCTGTTAATCATCCAGTTGGACAGTATGATTCCAGAGGCTTTTCTTTGGTTGCAGTTATTATCCTAGAAGGGACCCTGGGAGTATCTCAATAGAGGGGCTGAGGCACTGGGGGTTGCCCAGTCTGGAAGGGAGGAGGCCAGGAGGCAACCTCCTTGCTCTCTGCAGCTCCCTGAGGAGGGGATGCACAGGGGGAGGTTAGGAAATTTCAGGAGAACTCCTAAACCTTAGATCTTCTGCAACTTTAATGTATGTGAGTAAACAGAAGAACCTCAGTCCATGTAGCTGAAACAAGCAGTCCCTTGTATGCAGTCCTTCATAGTAATGGTGCCGTTTAGGGATCTGTACTCCTGGTACGGTTGTACCCCATTGATACTAACAACTAAGAAAAGAATTTAAACATTAATTCTCATTGTTTTTAAGTGAATCCTTAACAATTTAATATGCTACAAGAGCGTCTCTGATAGTTTTTGCTGCAAACAATGAAGGATGTGAAAGAGTCTTTGAATCCCTGGTTATTATCCTTGCCTGCATGATGTAATTTCTTTCAGATTCTTGTCATGTGTCTATACTGTAACAAGTCTTGACGTTGCATACGTTAAATCAGTGTTCGAGAATGTTTTGTGTGAAGTGGCAGAAATGCTGTCTTGTAAAGCTTTTATGTGTACATACTTTTACTCCATCCAACAGACTGAGCCTGAAATTATAGAAGAAACAAATGTTGACCGTGTCACTGAGCCTCGGAACTACACCAGGTCCCGTCAGGCCAAAGGCCACTCAGAGACCTCAACTTTAAGCTCTCAGCCCTCCATTGATGAGGTTCGACAACAGATGCATATGCTCTTGGAAGAGGCTTTCAGCCTGGCCTCTGCAGGTCACGGAGGACAGAGCAGGCAGGAGGCCTACAGCTCCGCACCACACTTGCCCTATTCAGAGGTGGTGACCAGCGCTCCTGGTACCATGACCCGACCTAGAGGGGGTGTGCAGTGGGTGCCCACATACAGACCAGAAATGTATCAGTACAGTCTACCAAGACCAGTAAGTGAAACTTCTCTTCAGTACGCTTTAATACCATAAAGATATTTCTATTCTAAGAACTTTTTTTTTCTTTTTAAGATGGAGTCCCATTTTCATGCTTAAAAACTGAGCGTAAAGCCATGTTTACAGTAAATAAGTTTGTGTAGTGGGGCATGTTTCTCTGTCTTTACACATGCCCATATCTCGCATGAAGACTCTTAGAATCTGTTTTAGCAGCAAGGTGACCTTATTTATGTTTTGCTTGAAAGAATAGGCTGCACTAAGCTCCAGACTGCTCAACGGATAAAGAACTGGTCTGCATGTCTCCTGTTGATTGAATGCATATTTGGAAGCAATGTGTTTTTTGTTTTTTTTTTTTTTAAAAACACCTGGGCATGAAACATCCAAAGCTTCTGCACAAATTCCACCAGTGAGAAACATCAGCCCAAGCCAGGGAACCAAGCGCAATGCAAAATCTGCATGACCTGAAATGTGGGCTGCTATTGGCAGCCTTACAGTTGTATCTATTGGTGTGGGACTAAGATGGCTCAGTGCTACAGGTTTCTCGGCTGACCTTATGTAGGTCATTCTTGATGCTTCACCTGCTCACCTCAATTTGCAACTAACAATTTCTTATCTCACAGAAATAATAAATATTTTGTAGATATATAGACAGCAATAGCAGTAGTGCTGTGGGCATCCTTGGTAGGTCAAGCTACCTCTGAATTCCAAGATACTGTTACTCTGAAACTGTATCTATCCATCTCAGTGGGGGGGGAAGGGGGGGCTGAAGCTGCATTAAATTTACGCTGTTCATTTCAATGCATTTTAGGGGTCAGAAATGATTTGTTTTGTTTTGAAATAATGCATTTCAAATTGAGTCCCCTAAAACGCCTAGAAGAAAGAGAATAAAGCAGAAAAAGTGTCCTCGCTTTAAAATAACTGTTACTGTGACTTCTTCTCATGACAGTAAAAAGTACATTAGAGGATGTTGCTTCTGAACTATTCTAAACATAAGTGAAAGTCAGTGGCACTGCCTGCGGAGGCTCACGCTGATGCTATTTTAAATCATGCTAAGGGATATTTTTGGCCCTTTGAAACTACCGCAGTGAACTTCATATATGGCATATAATGGGATTTTATGGCTAGAATTCGATTAGAAGCTCAAGAGACAGTTAATAGCTATCCAAATTACTTTGACACTTGAGAAAGTCTTTTTGAAAGGAAATGAAAATCATTATATAGAGTGAGATTTAAGAAAATGTAATTGCCATACTTTTTTGGTGATTGCTTCACTATTTTCAAACTCAATCGTCTACTTGTTTTCTGGGCTTTAAAGCACTTGGTTATCTTTCTGGGGGCTTGAAGATAATGTTAAGCACTTCCCTGAAGACACTTACATTTTAACTGGTTGCCATGGGGTAGGATAGTCGCAGGCTAATGGTGCTTGGATAGAGGTTGTTAGTTCATAGTTTTTTCCAATCTGTTTCTGAGATGTAAGTCGTACTTTAACTGAAATGTTTACTCGTTTGTTCTCAATTGGGGAAGGAGGATTTCAATTAGAAAAACCCACTTGCAGTGTATGTGCAGAGTGATGTGTGCAGGAAAAATATGCAAGAATTGCTGCTCTCGATGTTTTAGTACCTGTTTGCCTGCCCGTGATACCTCTGTGTGGTAATCCTGACAGATGCTGAAAAGGGAGGCACCAGGGAGTTAATTGGGCCAGAGTACAGCAGGGCTGGCCGTGGAGCAGCTGTAAAGTGGCTGGTGTACTGAAGGTATCTGTTATGATTGGAAATTTGGATTTAAGATTTTCCTTGTTAGATGGAACAAATGCAGACATTGGCTTTATTTGTGGGTTTCCAAGTACAACATAAGCATGAGGATCTTCAGCCCATCACTCTTTTCTGAGACGTGGGCCTTCATGGCCCATACATTACACTCAACCTTTTAGGAGCTCGCACAGTCTTTCCAGTAATTTGAGTGCACTTAAGCCAGCATTTATTGCAGAGATGTTTCATAGATGATACAAGTGCTGAATAAGATTTCTAACACTTGCATTCTCTACTTTTATACAGCATAAATAATAAGATTGAAGCATATGTCATGTGTCTCCTGGACCCAAATTCTTACAGCTTTCTTGCTCAGCTGTAGTTATTACTGCACTGGTTTGCTGTTAAGATTCTTAGTGTTTTAGCCAAAAAAAGACTCACTGACGTTTCTCTCTGGAAGGGTGGTGTGAGGTCTGCAGTCTGATACTTGTGCTATCTGAATTTGAAATGTGATTAATTTAACAGGAATTGTTGTCGACTCCATATTACACAAGATCTCATTTTTGGACAAAACAGGGTTTGGAATCTTTTCAGAATGCTCCTATATAAAAGTTTTTTTTTTTTTTTTTTTGAGAAAAGCAAAACTATTGCTGTTCAAATTTGCAAAAACTGCAAAAATCTTCAGCACCTTCATTTTGAAGAACAAAATTAGGCAAATTTCTTGTGAAATCAACATCTTCATATACGCTGGCTTGTTTTTGCTTTTTTAATGTTTTTTTTTTGTTTGTATGTGAGTGCTTCTTTTGTAAGTCAGTTTGCTTGGCTTTCTAGCAGCGTACAAGTTTCAGTGAAGTTGCTTTGTTTCTGTAATCATGTCAGTTTAGTACCAAAGGGCTCATCTAAACCTCCAACAGACATGCCTCTATAGTCTCTAAACATTCTTATTCTATTTGTGTTGCATGTAGGAAAAAACTAATACTGCAGCATAACATCTTACAGAAAGTCCAGAAAGCTCAGAGTTTGTTGTCATAACTATTTTGGAGGAAGCTCAGCACAGCAGAGGACTGACTGCTCTCCACCAGAGTGGACAGTCCCTTGGTGAGGCACAGCAAATCTTTTGATAGGATTTTTCACTTTAACAGGATTCCCTTTGCCCAGCCGTTAGCGACACGGTGCCACTCGTTGAAAATTGTTCATCTCCTATTTAAGCAGCAAAATAAGTGCTTGGATTTTCTACTTCATATTTTATTCCTCTCCACGTTTTCAATGCGAGTTGCAGGAAGTTTGTGAGGCATTCATTGTGGTACCTTAAAAAGCTTCATTTGATGTCCACTTTTCAAAACGTGCATTAGTACACAAGAGAAAACCCATATCTGCCTCTGCTCCTCTCCATCAGCCCTGTTGTACTCAGTAGCATTTGGAGTCACCAACCACTCTGAAACGTATGCTGTACCTTTAAGATAGGGGAAAAAATAGTTTCATACTTAGTACAAATGTATGCTGAGGGCAAGATGTAGGATGAAAGGGTTATGGAGCCAGAAGGAAGTGTTCAGTTCAGCATTGCCAGCTTTTCGGGTAGAGGCATTGCAGACCATTTCAAGTCCAGTGTTATTAGAAATGTAAATTAAACTTTGATGCAAATAGCATTTTGTTTGTTCTGTACGTTTATTTCGTTAAAAATCAAAATCAGTATTTCCCACCCCTGGCTAGGAAACGTGCTATTGCATTTTCAGTTTTTCCCACCTAGACATGGAAATACTTCAAATAATGTTGTAGCGTGGTGAAAGTGAATATTTAGACACATCATAGGTGGCATGAAAGGAAAAACGATTTTCAAAGACATGCCTTTGAGGGACCCTACCCTGCTTTAAAAGAGACAAGGATGAGAGGTGGGAGAGAGATGCTTGGTTTGTATTGCTTTTCCCTTAGCTATGCTGGCATTAAAAGTCAGCTTTTTGTTAGGTTATCTTTTCCAGTTTTGCAGCAGAGAAAAAGCATAATGGAACACTGTCTAAAAGTGTGATATGTAAAGGTGATTACTGTATGATAATGGTTTTAGAAATTTAGTGTGGGATTTATATTGCCAAATTCAAACCTAGATGTAGGTGTTAAGTCTGAGCTAATAGTGTAAATCCTGTGGGCTCTTTCAACAGGCAGGAGGAGGGTGACTCATAGTGGTAACATGTTTTTAGCTTTCTCTGCTGTTTGCTGAGGCAGTCTCTGACTGAAGCAGAATCATCTCGTGTAGTTCAAAGCCTCACTGTTGGACTTTGGATGCTAGTTTTTGTCAGAATGCATATCTCTTGGTACTGCACAGCCTCCCCCAAGTTTGCTCTCTTTCTGATCTCTGTTTCTCTGAAGTGTTGTCAGTAAAAGCATAATGAAGAACAAATAAAGCATAACGGGTAGAATACAGGTGTCAGTACTGTAGAGACTGATTACTCCCCCTCTACCTTTAAGCATATTTAGCCAAATTGTGACCTCTAATTTACAGCATACCTAAGAATTTAGAAGGAGAGTTTTGTCCTACAGGCCACAGCACACAATTACTGGTCCTTCACGTGCATTAGTGATGAAAGCCAGAATAGCTATGGGCAAGATGCTCCATTTTGTGAGTTGGTGAGCTGATTGCATGCTCCTCTGAATTTAGTTTCAAAATAATTTGAATTGTTATTGCTTTAGAAAAATACAGAGCTTGGGGTTTTTGTGAAGAGTTTTCTTTTAATTGCTCCGGGGCTGAAAAAAGTTGAAAAATGCATTGCTTGTGGGCAGTTCCATTTCACCAGGCAGAAAAAACTCTGAGAATGTTTTATGAATCCTTAAAATGTTTTACTTTTGGAAAATGCCCCATCCTTGGAGACTTTCAAGACCAGGCTGCACCAGGCTGTGAGCAACCTGATCCAGCTGTGGTGTCCATGTTCATTGCAGGGGAGTTGGACTAGATGCCCTTTAAGGGTCCCTTGCAACTCTAAGGGTTCTGTGATGCTATGAAGTGAAAATTCAGAGATCTTTTTCCTTTGAATCCAAATTATCTGTGGAATCTCACATAACTGTAGCAGATCTACTTTCCCAGCAAGGTGACAAGTGTCACAAAGGTAGAGTTTAATAAGTTCTATTTTAATTAGTCTGCCTTCCCTTTGTGAACTCATTCGTTCATGTTTTCTTCCATATCCTAAAATCACCCAAGCTTTGTAAATTCTCTAATAAAATTCCATTACTAGCGGTGCCGCAGAATAATAGCCTCTAGTTGGCCAGCACTTGAAACGAGTATTTGATTTCTGAGGTCATTTACTTTTTAATTTGAATGTGGATCTCTTGGTGTTTCAGAAAATATTTCTTTCTCCTACAGGCTTATAGATTTTCTCAGCTTCCTGAGATGGTGATGGGCTCTCCTCCTCCTCCTGTCCCTCCTAGAACTGGTCCTGTGGCTGTTGCCTCTCTCAGGAGGTAGATAGCTTTTACTTTGTTCTCAATATGAACTCTAAAAAACACAGTTTTTTGTAAGAACTGAGACAAACCCTCAAGTAGCACTTGTGAGCCATCCAGTTAATAAAGAAACACTCATGGTATTAGAAACATGCTATTTTTATTTTCATTTTAACATCAAGAGGAAAGAAATAACAGCAAATTTTCTCTTCTATTAGCTCATCTTTTTCAATAAAATTAGGAAATCCTTGCCTCCAAATCACACAGTACATAATGAAATATTCTGTAGCAGATGTGCAGCAGATAGCTTGCACCCTGCTGTTCTCTGTTCTAACAACCTGCGATGTGATACTGATAAGTTATCAGTATCCTGGGTCTGGGGGGCTTCCACCTAGCTTTCAGATATCTAACACCTTGCTTTACAAAGCCAAGTATGAGTAAAATGCCTGATTCTTAGCTCAGTGTATACTGCCTCTTCCTTCATAAAAAGCATTTCAAGGTATTTTCACACTTCTGTGGTGCAAGAGCTGATTTAGCCTACAGTGCTGTGCTGTTGTATGCTGCAGAGTTCCAACTGTAATTCAAAGGCACTGCAAGCCTACTGAGAAATGCTGTAGAGTACTAAGAAGAAAGGAAACTTTTCTGAGTGTCTGCTAGCTGCATCCAAATATTCAGAGTACAGATTCTTTTTTGGCATATTGTTTTATAACCACTATGTTATAGTGCTATAAATCAATATAAATCAGTAAAGCTATAAATCAACTGGGACGCATCGTTTCATGAGATGCTAGAACTTCCCATGTGCAGTTTAGACTACTTTGTGTCACCCTATCATCCTGTGTTTTCTATAATCTTGTATTGATGAGCTGTGGCATAGCTCTGGTTTTTGTACTGCGTATCATAGGCATTTGTTTGAAAATCCAGTAAAACTGGGTAGCTTAATCCTAGCAGGCTTGTCATACTGTAGCTCATAGATGCAAATATAGCTGTCCTGTCCAATAGTTGGGATGTTAAATGTTTCTTTTTTTTTCCATTTCTAATGCTCAGGTCTACATCAGATATTGGCAGCAAAGTGAGAATACCAGAGTCCAGTGGGGTGGATCAGGCCCAGCATCACGATCCTGCATCTTATGCACCTGGTTCAAGAGCTCCAATGCCTGTAGGCCCACTTGATCAATCGACTTTTCACTCAGGTGAGAAATAAACCTGCAGACCTAACTTGCAACTTCGAGACCCCCGTGATTTGTTTTGCATGTAAATGAGCTGATGAGAAATAGTAAGAACACACGATTATTTGGAGAAAGAAGGAATTGGGTATTTCTCCAGGTACAAATGAAGGGGATGTATAAACGACTGCCTCTTTGCAAATGCAGAAGCAGCTACATTGTAAAGTATTGCTCATCCTGCAAAAGGAAAGGGAGACCGTTTCTGAAGGTAAAAGACCCCACCAGGTGATCTTTGTTTTAATATGTCATTCTGCTGGCTTGCCTATCAGGTCTCTGAGCCACTAAGGTCCAGTAGAAGAGTTCATCTGCACCAAAAATCTGGTGCAAATTGTAAGAGGGATTGTCTAGCTGATACAGAGGCTATTGGTTGTCAAGAGCACAAGTCATACTATTGATGGGGCTCAATGGCAAGAGGGAACTTTCTGGCAGACCTCTGAACACACAGCAATTGTCATGTGTCTAAACAAATACGGCCTTGCATAGAGAGGCTGTCACCAGCAAATGTCAGAGAAGACTGGAAGCAACTTCTCATTGGGAAAACGTTTTCTTGAAGACCTGTAGAAAAAAGCTTTCAAGATTAGAAAAATTTTACACTGTCATTTCAGTTTTGTAAATGGCAGGTTCATTAGACGTGACTGCTAATCTGCAAATAATTTCTTTCTTATCTTTCTCAAAAGTAATTGAGAGTTATCTGCATTGTATTCAAAATCTGCTGAGAATAATGCTGTGAAAATGCATATCTGCCGCCAATTAATTAAATAAGTAGGTTTGAAGGATCCACTGTGCACACATTCTTATCACATACCTTCCTCAACGTGAGTCTAAAAGGAGCAGATGCCACCCTTTCATATAAAAGTGTTTTGAACTATAAAGCATGCCACGCTGCCAAGAACTCTACTGTCGTGACTGCAGCAACGTTCTGCGTGATATAGCTTTCTGTCAGTGATGCAGGGGTTTTATTGCTGTATGTTACAAATAGGTATGGTGTGCTACCACTGAAGAGTGCATTTCAGAAGAGACAAAATGACCTTAGTGTACACTGTGGAGTCGGCCAGATTTATTCTAGGATTAACTGGAGGAAAGGCTCGTGTGGGAGAGAGCCTTTAAATGGCTCTAATGCAGGGAAAGATAGAGTTGTGAGAAATCTGCAAGTGTAACAGATGAGGATTTCTAATGTTCTAATTGGAAAATAAATTTTTATCAGATCAATAGGTGGAAAGGCTATACTGCAGATGCTGATTGGGCATGAAATGACCAAATGTTGCCCTCATGCAGCCCATCAACATCAGCTTTAAAATAATGATTTTGCAGTAAGAGTTGGGGTAAGACAGTACTTCAGCTTCTTGAGTGTTCAATTTGTATAACTGCTCATTTTGCTGTGGTTAAATTAAGAGCTTTTTTGGTGAAGAGAAGCTGTGTGTCATCTGCAGGAGCAGCACTTTTTTCTCAGTACAAGTCTGAAGAATACTTTGGACAAGTTAGCCTTGCTAATCACTCCTCAGTGAAGATGCTCAGTTGTCTTTTTATTGTGTTTTTTGCATTTACTGGCTCTTCTGCTCTCGCATCAATGATTTATTTTTGTTATACTCTGTGAAACTTAAAACTAAAATACATGGCTGTGTATTACTGAGTACTCAAAATATCCCATCCATGTGCTTTGTTTGCAAATGGTAAAGACAGTAGAGAGCTTTTTCCCCTCTGGATTTAGGAATGAGGCTGCAGTGTACCAGTGATGCAAATGCTGGTGTTTGTATCTTTATCTAAAGAGACACTGGTGGAAAGAAGTCTTAACAGGCAAGCAGATTGTACTTTACTCTAAATTTGGCAAATAGGTGGAATTATGATGGCTTCTCTCTAGAAATAGTGGAAGTATGTGAGGAAATGGTGGACTTCTAGACTGCCTAGTTACATACTGTGTGTAAACTCAATAATGGCAGAATGAAGCACCTTCTGTTGTGAAGGACTTAATGAGCAGATATAACCATATCCAGAGATCTGGTTGGACCTTGTCTTGGGAAAGCTGTTTTCTCCTACTTAACATCAAGTAAGATCATGGCATTCTAACAGACAACTTCCTGGACATCCCTATGCATATCTCCTGAAGAAGACACAGGAAAACAGATTTTATGTCAGCAGTTTCCTTGGAAATATTTATATAAGTGGTAGCTGCATAATTCATTGCAGTCATAGGCTGTTGCTGGGAAATGTGTTGAGCAGGCAGAGCCTTGGTGGTTGGTTTTTTTTTTTTCTTTGTTTTTTAATGGAAGCATAGAAATTTTATGATGGAGTTGTTGAGATTACAGCCTTTTAAAGGTATCACTCAGTTTTGTAGGTCTTGTGTCTAGAGACATTAGAGTAGTGTAAATATAAATTTAAACTGAATGCTTTGTAGCCTGCTGTTGAAAAGAAAGATGCAATCCTCTGAAACCCATGGTAACAGCAGCTAAAAATTGAATACAAGGAAACAAATGTAAAAAGAAAATGAACCCTTTTTTTTCTGGAATGATTTGAAGTTTTAGGGGGAGTCGTTATTACAAGGATCCAAGTCCTTAGGGGTAAGTCTTCATATCTTTAACGGTTGTGCATCACTATGTGGACAACTGCCAATCTTGTTTTCTCCAGTATTTTCTGCTGTTATAAAGATGTGTAGTCGGCTACTTGGAGTCTTGCATCCAACCAATGATGATCATGTTCTCACTGGGGGAAAAAAAAAAAAGAAAAAACCTTGAACATCTACTTCATAAGTAATATCTTCTAATTTTTAACTTAAAAGATAGGTTGCTAATTGTATATGATGTCATTTTTTTAATAGGTAATACAGTACCAGCAGTGTTTGCCATACCAGCAGCAAACCGACCTGGCTTCACAGGCTATTTTATCCCAACACCACCCACAGCATATAGGAACCAAGCTTGGATGCCCTATGCTGGGGAAAATGAATTACCAGGGCAGTGGGCAGACTCAGTAAGTATCCTGACTTTTCTAATGATGTGCATTTCTACACAAAAGATGTCTTGAGTGATGCTAAGCATCAGCAAAGAATCTGAGCAGGGTGATTACTTCCTGAATGGGAATAATCTCTAGCAGTGAGGATCTTTGTGAGAGGGTACAGATATTATCTGTCCATACAGTGGACTGTAAGCATCATTCAGTAAGTTAGAGGCTGGCACCCATTCAAAGATGATGTGATAGATACAATTTTCTTTCCCCAAGACAGAGCTTAAATATTTGGTAGGCAGTGAGTGATGCTGTTGTCTCACGAAGTGGCTTTATGCTGTTTCAAAGCTGGGGAACATCTTTCTACCCCGAAGACTTCTCTCAAGGCAGCCTCACTCCCAGATACTAGCTCCCAACTCTGCCACAGCCCTGCTGTGCAGCATTTCTGCTGGGAGTGACAGATCTTAAACTAAATAATTAATTGCACAATTCTACCCTTGGACAGATCCAATTGTTAGGCTGAAGTATACTCGCATTTCAAAGAAATGAAACTGAGATCCTAAAATGAATTGCAGTAGTTCATCATGTCTGAAACAAATTCTATCACTTAGGGGCTTTTTTTTTTTTTTTTTTAAGACATTTAACTTCAATGCTACTAAGGAAAAAAAATGCAGGATTGACTCTTTTGCTTGAGCTTAATTCTAATGTTTATGCAGAACCAATTCAGCTAAACTGGGAGATAGATTCTATTTCTTTGTGCAGATAATCAACAGAATATTTTAGTGAACTGCACTTGGAGACAAATAGTTGCCTTGAAGCAACTAAGCAAGAGACAATAAGGTCATATAGATGCTCCTGAGGACAGCTCTTTTGTGCCAGATCTTCATGACTGCTGTTGATGTATAAGAGGAAAAGAATTCAATTTGATTCTCAGATGCAAGTCTGAATTTGTAGTCTGAACTGTCAAGAAAAAGGATATTCATATACAAACTGTATCTGATGGTGTGCTCCCGATAGCTGAAGGCTTGTGAAGTCATACAGATTCCCTTTCCAGAATGAAAGCACAGAAAATCTTTGTTAAAAATGTATTTTTATTTGTAATCCTACTGACATTTAGTAGATTCAAGAGACCTACTTGTATCTGAACTTCAATTAGAACTTCTTCATTAAGAAAAAAAAAAAATAAAAAAAAATGGGAGAAGTACTTTGTTGCTTGTATATTCTTTTTCCCTTTTGCATCTCAGCTTCAGTCCCATGAAGTAAGTAAGAATCAGGTGTCACCTGTCAAAAGTCAAGCCTGAGAACAAACCAGACTAAACTGGAAAACAAGGCTCTGACCTCCAGTTTCCTTCCTTTAGAAGGAGAAAGAGATGAGAAGAGCACATAGTGCCAGTGGGCCTTCCTTTCTGCTGTGTGCACAAAGGGATGGAGAGGGAGGTGAGAAGCTGTCTGAAAATTAACTGTGACATTATAGAATTCAAAGGAAATGAATTTTTCCTTTCAACTTCACTTATCTGTTACAGAGGTTTAAATGACTTCTTGTTATCCAGACTTTTAGCTCTTCTGTGATATAACAGAAGGAAGGAAAGAAATGTAAAAAAAAAAAGCAAAACAAAACAACAAACACTTTAGTTCCTTTAGGAAGAGCAGAGACTTAAAAATGAGATGCTGTATTTGTCATGCATTTCCACTAACTGGGTTGTAAATTAAACACCAAGGTGGCAGGTGAAATGAGAGTTGTCCTGTAAGCTTAATTTCCTTAAACGTTGCTTTTCAATTCAAAGGTAAGTATTGAAGCACTAAGCCTTGTGAGAGAAGGGAAATGCATTTATTTTCCAAATTGATAGATGCTGCTTAGTGAAAGTAGGAACCTGGTGGCCTCTAGTGGTATGTTCATGTGTTGTGCTGCCAAAATGTTTGTCTTCTGGATAATCTATGGAGAAAACTAAAGAGGCAACTGCATTTGTCACTTTTATACCATGCTTGTTCCCTGTGTCTGTCATCACACCACACTGAATGTGTGAGACACATGCCAGGCAGACTGTATTACGTATTTGTGCAAGGTTTTAGTGCATTTGAAAAGCTAACAACATGTATTCTTCCCAATTAGAGTGATATAAATTAGTCAATTAACTTCTCAGTGCTTAAATTGGGGGGTTGGACTCGATCTCTGGAGGTCCCTTCCAACCCCTACAATTCTGTGATTCTGTGAAATGCAGTGGTAGTTTATTGGTTACCTTATGGTAAATGTGGTATTATCAGCCATCCTGTTCAAAATAAATATCATTGGACTTCTCTTCCTTCTCATTGGAGTGGATTATGGTAATAAGTTGGTGGATTTTTCCTCAAGGAGAAATTATCTTGTCCTTGTAATATGTTATGGGTTGCCTTCTGTCACAGCATAAAACATTTTAACATGGAGGGCTGTATCTATCTATTTTCTAGACTTTTGCAAAATATAAATGAATGCTATTTTTATTTGATGCATTAAAAAAAATTGAGAACTTAAGTTTACTGTGAATTGAAAACTGGTATCGTGGATTTGTGAAGGAAAATTAGTAGTCATGAGGACTAAACAGCCCCCCTTATTGCTTCAGGTCAGAAGATTCCTCTGTACTGGGTTTTCAGAGTCCTGAAGTGCAGTAGAGCTGGCTACTTAAGAGAGGATGCTTTCAGAAAAGCCTCCTCCTTGTTTTTTTTACAGTGACAATAAATTTAGTCGTTCAGTGCTGCCACACTGAGTCGAGTAGTTGAGTACCTGTCTTACTGATGTGTGTGCTTAAATGGCACATGCAAGTGCCATTTAAGTGTCAGCTGACACTTCAGGATGTAGAGTTTACATTCCCGTTATAGGTTCCTATCTGTCCATCTTATTCTACCCCGTGGAGGTTTATGTTACCTGCCAGGCAGCACTAAGGATAAATTGTTCTGTATAATTTGGTGTAATTACGATGCTCTACAGGTTCCGCTCCCTGGATACATCGAGGCTTATCCAAGGCCCCGCTACCAACACAATTCTCCTTCACGACTGCCTCGCCAATACAGCCAATCAGCAAGCATGCATCCCAGCTTGGAACAAGCTCCTTTGCCCTCTGCCACAGCTTCTCAACAGAGCCTGACAGAAAACGACCCATCCGATGCTCCTCTCACCAACATTTCTACAGCTGCCTTAGTAAAGGCAATAAGAGAAGAAGTTGCTAAACTGGCCAAGAAGCAAACAGATATGTTTGAGTTCCAGGTTTAATGTCTTTTGTGCACAGCATTTGTATCTTGTAACTTGAAGCAGCCAAGAAAGTGACCTCTTTAATTCTCACTTACAAACCTGCAGTGAACTGTGCAAAGTGATGGCATTTTTCTCCATCTGAAAAGTCAACACTATGAAATGACTTAGAGTAGAGCAGCAGGACCCTGAAGATATGTATTCTCCTTGCCAGCTGAGGAAATGCTGCCAGGTAACTCTTTGAAATGGATAATATTGATCACATGCGAGTGTTTGTCACTTGGCGCTCATACTGTGACCCATCACCTCTAGAGATGCTGCTGTACGTGTCAGTGCCATGCAATGTTTCAGTTGCAGGCCCAAATACAGAGCTGCTGAAGAAAATGTCTTCTACATGTCAAAACCTTATTTCTTTGATTAAAGAAGAAAAAGGATGGAAAGTAGCAAGCTAAAGGCCATGGTAGGCATGGCAGCCACATTAATTTTTTGTTGTGGGACATTGTGCAAGGAATGTTGATTGAATTTATCTGCGTCACTGCAGCCTTTTCATTCTAGAGACTGTAACCAAACCAAAAGAATCTGAGATGAGTAAGTAATACTAATAAATGTCCTGTGAATAGCCCCAATTCTTTTCATCCTATTTACAGTATAAAGAAGTGAAAGAAGAGAAGACTGTGAGGAGACTAATGATATTTTGATAGTTAATGGTTACCTTGTCCATGAATGCCACTGATGAGTTATGGAGGAGATTTTTTCTATGTGAGAGAGCACAATCTGTGAAGAGCTAACAAAGGAAACTGGTGCTAGAAGTTTCCAGGAGAAATGAAAAAAGGTTATTTGTGTTTGCTCTATATTCAGGCTTTTCACTCTGAATGCATGTGAAGCTGGTAAACATGAGATCTTTGAGCAAGCCTTTCCAACTGGGAATAGTGAATACACCTGCTTGTACAAGACAACCTCTGTTTGACACAGTGCTTTTTTCTCTTTCTCAAATAATGCTATCTACTGAATTGCTACCTGAAGCCGCAGTTGATCAGTCTGGAACAGTGCTTACACATGTAGGAAGTTCTGAATGTAGAGGACCTGATTATTATATTAACATGTAAATAAGAATACGATTAAATGGATTTACAAAAACACTGGCGTGCTTTGAAACAAGAGGGCATTTCTGGAAATGATGCTGACTGTACATTGCTCAAGATAAAAATAACTAATAGTTAAACTACATTATTGTATGAATCCAATCCTGAAAGAAAATCAGACCAGTTGAATAGGACAGTAGTTTGTCTTTTGCAGTTGTACAGAATAGTTGGAGATGATGAACAATTGTTTTCAGTTCCTTTGGCCACTAGCTTCGGGAACTGAAGTTGTTGCAAAATACATTGTATTGGGCATGTCTGATGTCAACTGGAGTTAAAGGTAATGTCCTTCATTTCAGTAAGTTATTTAGTTATTCTCAACTGCCTACGTTATTTTGTTTGATCATTTCATTTTCTTGAATTTCTTTGGTCTTTACCAAGGTGAGAAAGAGAGCTTAGTTTAGCTTTTTGGCCATCAGTAAAATGAGAGGTATGAGACTAGAGCAGGGGAAAGAGAAGAAACTGATGAAGCACAAACTTTTAATACAGCACTATTTTTTCCCCCAAATGATTATATAATAAACCCTGTTAGAGATCATGATATATAGTTATCCTAGAATACACTGACATCTGCTCTGAGACCTCCGATGTATTGCAGAATCTTTAGGAATGCTAGCTGATCTTTAAACTATTGTGAAATTTCATTTTTATGATTTAAAAATCAAATATAAATAAAATGTATTTTTGTAATCTCAATGTATATACTTGCTGTATGGTTTATACAAGTGACTGGTCTGCAATAGTCGGAAGATTTCCATAAACCAAGTGCAAAAAAACCCCAAGAAAACAAAAAAAAATGGAAACAGATAAATAATTTTAATGATCAATATTAACATGCAGCATCTGGAATACACAAATACACATTTGGGTGACTTGGACACTGAGCAACCAAAGAAACTGGATCTTTTGTGTAAATACAAGTTTGCTAAAGACAGGCTACCATCTCATTTACCTGTCAGCTAATTAATACTGATCTAATCCGTGTAATACAAGATGTCCAAATGTCTTTTTGTGTTAATAGCTGCCTAAACATGTTGTGTTTAAAAGTAACTTAAAAATAAAGGGCCAAACTCAGCATGCTATAAAGTGGTGAGTTCTGTTTGGCTTCAGTGGGAACTCAGCTCTCTGAGAGCAAGGCTGAGCTTTTCTGTTAGCTTTTGTTCAAACGTGCAAATTTCACTAGAATCACCTGAGCGCTCCTGTGCTTATTTTTCATTTGCTGTAACAGAAGTGCAGACATAATTTAAGAGCAGCTTACAGTTATTTAAGCCTGAGCTGGTTCATAACCAGATTAAGCTGCCTTGGTAAGGGAAATCTGCGTTAAATTGTGTCAGCTGCTTTGGGCATCAGCTTTATTAACTTACATTTTGAGTGATTATTCTAGATAATCCAGTGAAATTTTGTATGTAGATAGGCCCTTCTATGCAATGGGAGTGAAATACCCTGTGAAATAAATTTCTGTGTCTTTGACTCGAGTTTTGCAGGGTTATCTTAAAGCTGCAAGTGTGGAAGCAGCAGCAGCCCTGCAGACTGGGAAAGCTCATGATGCCACGTATCCCCAAAAGAGTCAGAGGAGGTAGGATGTACCAGATCTGAACAGCATCTTTGGGACACTTAGCTCTGTTTGTAAATCTGTACCCATTCTTCGACTTCAGTGATTTAGTAATGCCATCAGAAAGTGTGTTAGTGTAAAGCCTAGCATCTATCTGCCATACTGAAACTGAAAAAGTTTGGAAATTGCATGCATGGTACAGGGTGTGAATGCCCATATGCAAACAAAATGAACAAAATAGAAAACCCTAACACCGGAAGAACCTCTTAAACAGCCTTCTATTCCCGTAAAGTTAAACCAAGTACTCTTCATACAACTGAGGAAGACCTGTTAGACTTCCGAAATTAATTTTGTTTGGTATTGTACTGATGATGTGCAGTCTACTGAATATCCCCTGAATCATCCCTCTGAAACCATTGTGGTGCACTTTATTCACAAAGGTGTTTTACATTCTTCGTTCATAATGGCTTTCTATCTTATTTGTAATATGTTTCTGTATTTTTTTGACGTACAAAGTAAGATTATACCAAGACAGTAAGGACATTCCTGTGTAAGAAAAACATGCTGTAATATTTATACTGTCCGAGCACAAAGCAATGATAAAGTGAAAATATAGTGTACAAATAATTTGTAAAATAATAAACATTTTGTATGGCTACAATTAGAGTACAGTTTTTCAATATTGATTTCCAAAAAGAAAGTATACCTGTTTAATGCTATGATCTCATCAGACTGTATTCCTGTCATGTTCACTTTTCTACTAAGTGCCCCAATTTTCTTTAAAATGTTGCCAAATGTTAAGGTGAAAATATTGTTTTCTGTGTACAGACATGTTGATGTTCAAACCAATAGTTGTATCCAGATTTGTAAATCATTACTAGAAACATCTGCAAGTAAAACGCACATAGAATTATTTCTCAGTAGGTGTGTAATGGCCACTCTTTGTAAGTGCATATTCTGTGTGTAGTGTTTTGTTGGCATGAGTAGAAGAGTCACTTTAAGGGGATAAGAGGGCATTCTTTGGCAGTCGTTTTTGAAGAAAAGTATACTTTTGTGAGGAGGTCAAACATACTGCAGAAATATGAACAACTTTTGTATCTGATAAGTATCTGATAATATTCTGTAGATAGAAGTGCATGTAAATCCTGTATAGAAATGGGGAAATTGTCATAAATGATCTTTATTTTTTATCCACACTGACTTTTAATAAGGGGAGGCATGGAAGAAAGTGAATGTGGGGAAGATTAAATGCAAAGCAGGTGGAGAAAGCAGCATTGAAGTCAGTAGTAGAACTGAAGTGAGGCCTCTGTCTCCTTTAAGGGGTGGTGCATAAAAACTAATTGCAATTTTTGTCACAATTCAAGATGTCTGTAAAGGATGAATTACTTTTGAACGTATATTTTTCAGGCCTGCGTTGTAAATATGACAGCTCAGTGCTTGCTTCTAGGAGTCTTCTAGGAGTTCTAGGAGGGAACTTAAGGGCAATGATATTTTTTGGAGCTGGCACAAGGAGTTGCTTCATTTAGCTGACCTTGCACATCCTGCCCGTGTGTGCGCAGCTCTGAGTATGGTGGAACAAGGTTACTGTAAATCATTGATGGTCTTGATCGTGTTTTTCATGTACATAAGCATATCTCAGTGGCTTTCCATTTCTCACTGACGTGCAATTGGATAAAAAGAACAAGCGTGAGACAGTATGAAGAACATTAACAGGTAATTAACAGTTCTAATAGCCTGTGAATGAGACCAAAGGCTTCTTCTGATGCTTGATAAGTCACACCTACTGGAAAATGATTCTTTAAAGCAGCTTTCCTTGGAAAGGTTTATTGCTTTCAGTGCTAATGAGCAATAAGTATGAATTAAAACTCATTCTATCACAAGAGAGTGTGTCAGTCATGGCTTCCACTCCTTTGCACAAGCCATGTGCTTATTCTGTGGAGCCCCACCTGAAAAAGTGGCAAAATTCACGACTGCTATCCAACTACTTGAAGTAAGCTCTCATAATGAAACACCAAGTTGTTGGTCATCTTACATAGATTTTAGTACACCATTCGGGCAGATGTTCAGACAGTGTGTTAGCATACTGAAAGTATCAGTCTTTTTTCTTTTATAAGGGCTTTGCAAAACAGGAAAGCTTGGTCTGCTGAGATAGGACAGCCCACTTGTCACAGTGGGTGCAGGGAAACAGCAGCCTTCTTCTCAGTATGCTATTAATGTGTCTCATGGATTAGTTATTTCCTCTCTCCCCTCAACTTCACTTCTGAAAGAATACAGACACACAGCTTTTTTGACTAAATAATGTGTAATTTTTAACATAAGTACATGGGGGTAGGTGCATCTGCCTAGTTCTCTGTGATGTCTCCATGTGCACTGCTGATCTACTGAGCATTTTATTTAAAACAGTGCCAGTTGGAAAAGCAACAAATCAGCTCGAGCTTCTCTGCTGTGTTATTTACAAGCATAGTGTAGATTTTGAAACAGGGCTATATGGATTCAGTATGTCAAATGATTACTTAAGCTTTCTGTGCTAGACTTTCTTTTCATGGGTTAATTCTTTGGGCAGTAACTCCAGGACTGTGTAAGATTTTATTTTTTGCTGATCAAAATACTTCATAGTTATTTTTTTTTTTTTCCATTTTAAAGGTGTAGGAATGCAAAATGAGGATGAACACTCATTGAGAATGCTTTTATGAACTGTTGCCATTGTCTTGTAAATAAATAATGCAAAAGTTTACTTGTGAAAATGATATTTATCTGGGTCAGCAAATGAACTGGGTACTGATTTGCTCTTTAGAAGGAAGTTTCAAGATGGCCAAGATGTAAAGGCGTGCCTGCAGTGTCTTCATTGAGAATAATTGTATTGAACACTGATTGTTATTTCATCAGAAGTATTGGTCGCATTCTGCGTGCTGTGTCAAAAATGTTTGGCAGTGCCCTGTGGATGGAAAGCAGTCAGAAAACTGCACACGTGGGGATTCCTGTTATCCAGGAAAATCTTGGTCAGGGCTGCATAAGACACATGGGAGTCGGGACAGAGATTTTGGTGGGGCTCTGAGGTGGATAAGAAATATGTTTTAAGTTGCTAGGTGGCCAAATGGCCAGCAGATGTATTGAGAATAATTACGAATACCCTGAAGAGATGTTTCGCTGATTTAATTCTTTTGCATTTGATAAAAAAAATAATTCTTTTAAGAAGTGCCTGAACTTTTGAATTTCCAAGCTTGATGGTATTAATTCTAATAACTTGAAAATGTATTGTAATCTGTAAATAGTGTTGTAACACTGCAAGTACACATACAAGGCAATAATGGGGTCCAAGAATTGTAAACAATAGAGAAAGTTAATTCCACTCAGCTTGATATTTATGGAGGAGGTGATTTTATTTTTCCAGAGTTTATCCTTCAGCTGTGGCACAGTGCATTTCTATGCTCTGTAAAGCAGTGTCTCAACATGGTGTAACACACTGGTGTTTAAGTCTATCCTGGCAAGGAGTACTGACTCTTTGCAGACTCCAGTGTAACCTGGAACGACAAAAGAATGCCTGCATATGTGATTAACTTCTTAAGCTACTAAAAGAGAAATGTGTGGATTCTTCACTCTGGATTCTTACAGCGATTTAGTGGCTTTTAGATCATGTTCACTAGTGCATACTTTGAGATGTGATGCAGCAGAATACAGCAGCCTATGCCAGGCATTTAGTAGCATCTAACATACAAGTGACTGTAGTGAGGGATAGATACTAAAACACCTGTTTCAGTAGTGAATGGACACCAAGTATTTAGGGACTGATAACTATGGGGGAGCAAAGACTCTGAAATTAACTGCTTGGAATCGATTTTATGTATTTTGTTAGCTTTTAATTTCTTTATATGTTAAGGCGGTAGAAAAATAGAAATGTTAAGAGTGTATTCTATTTCAGAATTATGAATGAGATACGAATGGAAGGAAAATTGAAGTTTGTTCTTTGCCTTTTCCTTTATCTACTGATTTCAACACTGCTAACAGTAAAACAAACAAACAACAACAACAAAAAACCACTTTACTCCAGATTAATTAATTTTAATATTACTCCCTATGGTGGGGAGGCCAACAAAGCTTTTGTATGGGTATTGAGTTCTTCAAATTGTACTCAAGGTCAAATTAGATAGAGAAAATGAAATGGAGCTCATCTTACTAAGGCATAGATGTTGGTTTAGGACTGAGCAATCCAGCAGTAAGAGCTCCTTGGAGGAGCCGTTCTGAGGAGTTCTTTGGGTCTAGTTAAGGCAGTGTGCACAGCACAGATATTCCTGCCCTATTTGACTCTCCATTTTTATTCAACAGCTTTTTTCTCTGCATCTGTGTATTTTGAATTTTGCTTTTGTGTTACTGTTCTCAGACAGCTGCACTCTTGTTGAGGTGCAGCAGGGGTGACGGAGGTATTGACTAACATACGTAATGACATTTTTAATTACCTGTGACGCTGCGTGGCTTTGTCCTGTTTACCACTGTGTGATGCTGACAGTGTCATTACGGTGACATGAATATTGGTAGTCTTCCATTGAAGTTACTGAAAAAACATTTGCTTCGAGGAGAGTGGGATTGATCCAATATTCTCACAGTGGTTCAACCATTTTAAGTATCTTGCAATTGTGCGAAGACAGAGTAGTAGCTGGTTATGGATAACTGGAAATAGGAACTTAGACTTCAGTTGTCATTTTCCCAGTTTTGGCTTGGTCCTGGGCAAAGCACGTAATCTGGCTGTGCCTCAGCATTGCTATCTTTAAAGCATGGTGAAGGTGCTGCCCCTCCTCACCTTGCTGGTGAGGGGCTCATCTAACTGATAAGGTTAGGAATGGTGGAACCCTGGAGTGGAAGCTGACACATCAGTATGAACCATTGTTTATTATTTCATGCAGCTTGGTAATTGGTCAGGACTGTAGGTTATCCAATCCTTTGGCAGCATTAAAATATAGGTGAATTTACAAGGGAATAAAAACCTCTTGATACTATTTCAGCATACTGTAGGAAGACTTTCTAACAACAGCTTCTACTTCTTTTTTTTTTTTTTTTTTACAGAGGTGCTATATCAAATACATAAATTGTCACTCCCCATGCAGCACATCTCACATTGATGACATGAACTTCTCTTGCGTCTTTGAGTTACAGAAAGGACCGGCTCTGCATTATTACAAGTATCCACGTTATCTTTGTTACTCACAGCTTGATTCAACTAAACTGTAATGGCTGCATCTGAGAATAACTAAAATATTTAAGTGTGTTTCAGCTGGACATGCTTATATTAGGTTGTTTCTAAAGTCAGTTAGAGTCAGTAGAAGTGAGAGTGATTTGGAAAGCCATGTCTAAAGACTAAACTGGAAAAGAAGAAAAATAATCACTTAATATTTTATATTATGCAATTGGAAAGGAGATCTCCAAGAGCTGGTTCCTTTTGCAATTACAAAAGTTGTCTGTACCTGAATTTGAATTTTACATATCACTAAGGAGGAGACAATTCAGATGTTCTGGGTCATTACCAACTGGCTTTGTTTGTACTCTTCAGTGTAGGGCGATTCCAGAAATGAAGTTTATCTCTGTGTAGCGTAGTTTTTTTTATGTTAGTTGCAATAGCTTAGTTGAAGTTGTACATGTTAATTCTTGGCAACTTTGCACACTAAATAAAAGAT